CAACTACAAACCAAACTCCAAATCAATTCATTCTAAAAGTGCCCGGATGCTTCAGCTTGGATGGATACGCTATAGTATTGGAGGATCCGATTTTTACCACCCTGCGGGAAAGATGTGTTTGTTTACAGCTGTACACTACAGTGTAGTGACAGTGTTGCATGCCCAAGGAGCGTTCAGCGTGACGTCACGTTCAGGTCGCGTGTGAAAACATAGCTCTGCGTTACAGCATAGCATAGCAATATAGCATAGAGAGCATAACAATAATAGAGCATAAAAGAGCATAAACAACATGAATAACATAATTCTCTTATTCATGTTGTTAGTGCACGCAGCACAGGGCGGGCGTGCGGTGTACTTGTGTGTTGCAGATGAGCATTTGACCGGCATTTGCAGGTGATTATAGGCGAAATAGAGTAGAGAAACATTAAGACTTTCGTAGTAAATACATTTTGTGTTTATTTATCATTATTTAATTTAATTGAGACGTTCCAAGTGCCTGTGCCAACGAACGCTTTTGCCAACCAGCAGAGCTATGTTTACACACGTGACCTGGACGTGACGTCACGATGAACGCTCTTTGGGCAACACTGTCACTACACTGTAGTGTACAGCTGTAAACAAACACATCTTTCCCGCAGGGTGGTAAAAATCGGATCCTCCAATACTATAGCGTATCCATCCAAGCTGAAGCATCCGGGCACTTTTAGAATGAATTGATTTGGAGTTTGGTTTGTAGTTGGCTGCTTCGGAAAGTGTAGTGAATAGATTGCAAGTCCTATGAATTGATTCGAAGTTTCCTGAATAGTTTTGCACACGGACCGGAAACAATTAACAGAGTGGGCGGCAAATTGTAAACGCTAGTAAGTGATTTCAGAGGTCTTGAATAGATTGGAAGTTGCATAAATTGATTGTTAAATGAGCTCTTTGATTGTAAACATTTATATATGTTTTGAAAGCTGTATGATTAATTTGTAATTTAAGCTATACATTTGTCATTTGTTACCTAATAATTCTGAAACCAATTGAACAGTTAGATTTGCATTTCTGGTGATTAATGTTAAAAGTAATAAATCAATTTCAAAGTTAGTGAACTGATTCGTTATTCTGTAAATTAATTTAAAACTTATAATTTCAATTGTTAGGGTGATGAAGCAAAATTTTAACATTTGTGAGTTTATGTAACATGTTCTCAATTAAATTGCAAGTTAGTAAATTGGTTTGTTGTTTTGAAAATAAATTGTACGTTTAGAAAATGAATTTTTACAATGATGTGAAGGAATTTGTATATCAGGCAATTATTTTGGAAAGTTGTGAATTAATTTGCAAGTTAATAAATTAATTTGTTATTCTGTGAATTGATTTTAAATTTTGAATTTAAATTTCTCAAACAATATAAAGTAATTTGTATTTTTATTAATTAATTTGAAATGTTTTAAATTTATTTAAAATTGTGTATTTGAAATGTTTGAAAATGATTTTTGAAGGGGATGGCTTTCCATATTATGCAGCTATGTGGTCGAAGTTACCAACACCCCATTCTATAGACCACCAATTCTATTTAAACGGAACATTTTTTATTGGTAATATGCACAATGACCTGGAAAATTAGTAAACGTTGATATAGATGCAAACAAATTCGGTTACTGATACAGAAAGATGTTTGCATGGTCTTCTAACAGTGAAAGTTAATAGAGGTCAAACACCCCAGCTTCGTGTGAGATTCTTGTGAACTTCGTGTGAACTTCGTGTTGCAACCAAAAATTGTGCACGACTGCAATTATTCAGTGCGGATGAGCAGGACGCTGGTCGGAGACATTTGCTTTGGTGAATTAATTACTGTCCAGCGAGCGAGCGGCCCTTAGATTTGCCCCCAAGCCGGTCACAGGTGAAGGATAAAGCAATTAAAGTATCAGCGCTCGCAGCAATCAATTTCTGTCAAAATACATGAATGCCAGCAGATTTTCGCGTCAATCGCGGGCCAGCTGCATGCTGCCGTCATTGTGTGTGTGTGTGCGTGCGTGCGTGCGTGCGTGCGTGCGTGCGTGCGTGCGTGCGTGCGTGCGTGCGTGGCTGCAAGCGTGGCTGCGTGCGTGCGTGTGCGTGCGTGTGCGTGTGTGTGTATATGTAAGGAGGCGGTGTCATGCTGGGTTCTCTAGCAGGGAAGGTTGGTTCCAGTGAGATGTGTTTAGTTGGGCTACAACTGCTGGGCCGCGTCCCACATGTTTTCCTGGTCGCCAGGGCCCCTGTGTCGGCTCCGGTTTCGCTGTGTGTTATTATAGAGCCGGTGTGATTATATGCTGTCTGCTGCATCTACCACCCTAACCGCCATCATTAACGCCGACTCACTCCTTACTGCGAGATGATAGTCCTGTACATGTGTTTGTGCGTAGGCGCGTGCGTGCCTATATACGTGCGTGCGTGTGTGTGTTCGTGTTGCGAATGCTCAGCAGAATAATAGGAGGATGTAATAGCAATGTTACAGCAGTAGTGTTTCATAGCACGTTATTGGAGAGAATGACAGATAAGATGGGGGTAGAGTGGGGAGTGATTAAGGTGGAGACAGAGGAAGGGAGGAGGTGGGAATGAACGCCGTGGGAACGGAGAAAATGATTTGTCAGGGGGGATGGAGAGTGCGCATGTATAGAAAAGCTCGTGTGTTTACATGTGCGCGTTTTCGTTTTGTGTTTATTCGTGTGTGCGTGCGTGCGTGGCTGCAAGCGTGGCTGCGTGCGTGTGTATACGTGCCCGTGTGTGTGTGTATGTGCTTGCGTGTGTGTGTGACTGTTATTGCGACGCACGAGTTGATTCATGTTTCTCGTGCAGTCGCATTTCTCTGTGGATAGCAGACTTCCCCGAACCGACTAAGTAGTTAAAGGCTACATCGGCTATCGAACTGCCTGGTCATAATTCGCAATAATAAAAGATGTAGCAGTGCTCCAGCGAACACGTCTAAATGCTTATCACACTGCCTTGTTGCCAATTGTTCTCGGGCAACGTGAGATTTAGCTCGGGGTGCTGCGTATGGGTGGGTCCCCTCTTTTAGCACTCTAACACGCCGACGATTGTGAGTCATACCGGCTTTACGAGTTGCATTCTGCCGCATTAACATGTTCGACAATCGTCTTTTGGAACATTGTGAGAGAAATGATTATTTCTCTCGCCTTTGTAAGCGCTCTCTTCGCGGGGGAATGAGTCATCAATGACAGCCACGTTGCGCGGGGTGTGTGCGTGTGTGTTGGGGGCTTGCCCAGAAATGCTAGCCTTGTGCTGTTAGACTTTATCTATCAATGTATATTACTATCAGAGTCAAATTTCCACTGATTAAGTCTACGTCGATGCATTCACTGAGCTAGCAGTGACACAATTACTAGAGTAGGGGATCAGGCACATATATAATATAATAAATAACGCAGGCGCAGGAATGCGTGGAAAGTGCGACGTGGCAGTTAAGATCTCCAGCTGTGCCTGCTAGAGTAGAATTTCCTTCCCGTGCATTTAGCCCGAGAGTTTATTTGGTGGTAAGTGCTGTGATTATGACTCGCGTATGCGTAGATAATGATGACATCTGGTGGGAAATATGTCTACTTGATGCGATGCGTCATCAGTCATCAGTCAGTGGTTTGTGGAGAGCAACCGTGTGTTTGTTTACCTGGCCTGCTCCCAGCTGACGCTGCAAGAAAAACCAAGTCTTGTGAAGTTTGTACATCTCATATTTGCTTCCTGGATCTATATCTTTATCATTCAACGTCCATGATAATGTGATCAGACTTTTATACCTTTCATTCCCACCCAACACAGTTAATACATGTTGCTATTTTGCATGTAAATTTTAAAATTTTTTTTAGCTTGATCATTATACTAACTCTAATGAACTAAATAACAAGATGATTCAGGATAATTAATAATGTGATATTTGGAGTAATTGCGTTAATTAGATTTTACTGATATACATTACTGAGCTAAAAATCCAAAAAGATCCATGCGGATGTTTATCTCTCTCATTCTCCTCTTTCTCTTTCGTTCGCAATGCCCATCTATCCATCTCTCCCTCCGTTCTTCACCGCCCCCTAACTTTCTCCCCGCCTTTATTTTTCACCTGTTAGTATGACGGTGTATCTCGCCTGTTAGTGTGATTGTAGTCTCACCTGCTATTTTCACCTGTTAGTATGACGGTGTATCTCACCTGTTAGTGTGATGGTATTCTCACCTGTTTGTATGACAGTGTGCCTCACCTGTTAGTATGGCGGTGTATCTCACCTGTTACTAGTGTTAGTGTATATTTTTACATAATATTAGGATGCCTCGTGCACACATATAAACGTAGAATGAATTAGCACGCGGCCACTAGCGGTACAAGTCGACTGTAGAATCCCCTCTGTATGTACACATGCGTGTACTGCAGGCCTTCTCCCATGCATCAACTCTACGTACTATTGACTATTTAATGATGCAGCCTATAGCTGTACTATCACTGGCCATTGTTTTAGGATATCATAAGGACTGAAATTCGTGTTTGACTAGTAAGTACGACTGTACGACCGGAGGAGCAAGCAAGCAAGCAAAGTATAGCAACAAGAGCGTATTAAGAAGCTTCTTGGTAGTAGCAGATAGCTTCTTGGTACGCTCTTGGTAGCAAGCAAGCAATTTGCACTCACGTGTGCCAAACGTCTACGTAATGTGTACACAACATGTCATACGAATGTATCTTATCTCGAGTATGTGGAACCACGTTTTATATGCGTGATTACGTACACATTCACTGTCCACGTGGGAGTGATGAATTATTTTGCAATTGCGCATGATGTTAATCGGTAGTTTTGAAAAGTTTTAAACGAGTGAGTGTCGTGCGTGGTTGGCCTACGTGTCGTTGGACTTTGTCAACAACGTAATAGTGTGCCGATCTTTTGCGTTAAGTGCAGCTGTTACCTGTATCAGTCACGTCGCTGTGATGTCTGCGATAGTATCTGTAGGCAAAGTGCGTAGCTAGAGCTCCCGACAGCATGAGGGCGCGCCGGCAAGTCATAGGTAAACAGTTCTCCCTCTCTCCCTCTCTCCATCTCTCCTTCTATATCTTTATATCTCTCTCGTCATGTGCTAGTCTGTGTGTGCGTGTGTGTGTGTGCGTGCGTGCGTGCGCGCGTGCGTGCGCGCGTGCGTGTGTGCGTACGTGCTTTGGCGCACGTGGAACCGTTACATTACTATGACTTCTCAACTGCCGTGGAACGAATGCAGCCATATATGGAGTCAACCATCATCGCTAGCGCATCTGTAGGTGAAGGAAGCTAGATGAGACAGCAACGTTTGTGTTCTCAGCAGATGCCGTACCCGCAGGCACACGCCGACACGCGTCTATGTACGTGCGTGCAAGCATACGCGTCTATGTACGTGCGTGCAAGCATACGCGTGCATGCACGTACACGACTGCTTGCGCGCAGGCATACGCGTGTCTGCACGTGCGCTTGCCTGCGCGTGCGCGCGCGTCCGTGCATGCGTGATCATGTTACATGTTGAGTGTATGTGTGCGTGCGTGCGTGATCATATTACATGTAGTGTGTGTGTGTGTAGGTGACTGACGATCTGTGTGCTGCTGCTGTTGCAGGTGGACCTCTCATCCAGCGCTGCGTCATCATACAGAAGGATGAGAAAGGATACGGCCTCACAGTGAGCGGTGACAACCCCGTCTTTGTGCAGTCCGTCAAAGAAGGTATGACTCAGCCATCGCTCGAACGCTGCCGTTAAACACATTAACGGGTCGAGCAAGTTGGAAAACTCGCCTGCAGATGGCGTGACGATGGCCGGCCTTCCACGAGAGGGCGCCGGCGTCACCATGTGAAGGCACTCGTGTCTACGCACGAGGGTGCCAGTGCGTTTGTGCAAGAATTCTGGTGTCTCTGTGTGAGGGCGCTGGTGTCTCCACGTGAGGGCGCTGGTGTCTCCACGTGAGGACGCTGGTGTCTCCACGTGAGGACACGCACACACACACACACACACACACACACACACACACACACACACACACACACACACACACACACACACATGTGAACTGGCGCGCGGACATTTACAGATTTTTCGCACTAAAAATGCAACACAAATGCAACAGCAGTGTCGTATATAGCGTCGGGGGTTGTATGTGTTGTAAATGCGCGGTAATCCTCCGGCCGTTGCGGCAGGGGGTTGCCAAGAGCCAAGGGAAGTGGCCCACAGCTAGGGGGTGAGGGGGGTTGACCAACCTCCAAGTGACAGGACGCTACCCATGGCTGAGAACGATGAGGCGACCCGATGGTGGTGAGCTACGGAGGGTGGGACGTAACCGACAGACGGTGGTTGTGGGATGTAAGGGATGGGAAACGACCCACGGTCGGTGGTTGTGGGATGTAAGGGATGGGAAACGACCCCCGGGCTGTGGTTGTGGGATGTAAGGGATGGGAAACGACCCCCGGGCTGTGGTTGTGGGATGTAAGGGATGGGAAACGACCCACTGTCGGTGATGGTGAGGTGTAGGGGGTGGCCCACGATCGGGGGTGATGAGGTGTAAGGGGTCGGGTGACCCACGGCCTGTAGTGATGAGCTACAGTTGTTGAGGTGGTGACCCGTGGACGAGAGAGCTACGCGCGAGTGCGTTCACTAGTGCACGCTAATCCTATATACATAGACTGTGCGTCTGACGGCTTCCGAGGAGCCAACACTCGCGCAGGAGTATCCTTGTTTTTACAGACTGTCTTTTTACTGACGGGCGCAAACTAGGAAACGCGCGCGCGAACGCGCATCTCGGCGAAACGAAAGTATTTCCGTCTCGTCGTAACGATGTTTTCCGAAGACTTACAACCGGTTGTTGACCGAGGGCCGGTGATCAGCCGACAGCGAAGCGGCTTAAAATAAAATGTCGGCGCGCTGTGGCAGCGCGTGCGTATTCAAGTGAAAAACGCGCCGACTGCTGTATGAGCTAATTATCGGCAAACACGCAGACGCAGCGCTTCTCGTGCAACCGGATAGTTTCATTCAGAGTGAGTTTGTTTAGTGAGCGGCCCCCGCTGTAAGAGCGGCGGTGAACGCGGACGGGCTAAGCAGTGTGCGATTCACATGTGCAGACAACGCACTCGGCTACACACCTAGCGACTCACCTAGCTGTCCACCTGGCTACCCTTTAAAATATTTATTTGCTATATTTACCTGGTTATTGACCTAGCTATTCATCTAGATATTCTTCTATTCACTCAGATATTCATCTACACATCTAAATATTCATCTATGCACCTTGCTATTCACCCATGCACCTAGATATTCATCTATTTACCTATCAGAACCACCCCGCGTGTCTGCTGTGTTTTTTTGGTCGTACGTTGGTAAGCGGCGCGTGACTGCCGATCATAATGAAGGTTGTCACCAGCAACCCAGGGTCTGTCACCTTTGTACGAGCGCGGCTCTTGGTTTTCTGCTAATTTGATGGCAGGACTAGCTAGGACGTCACGCCTGCCGACGTCCATGCTCGTATGCTGGCTAATAGTAGCCTAACCCAGTAGAGAGAGACTCGCGCCGCTGTCGTGTGAGGGTGCTTCCTAGCCCCGAGCGAGCCGACGAAACCTTCACAGCGGCCCCTGTAACAGCTCGTCATCGGTGCCTGGTCGCAATTTCAAACCAATTGTCGAATTTCTATCGACACCGCGAGGCCGCTTTCACATTTCACCCGCTTTATGGGATCCATGATAATTGATACGTTATTGAATTCACTCGAATGGTCTGTATGGCTGAAACGATGATGATAACAGAGGATATAATCTACGTCCGTAGCGAGCCTTCAAGCAGTAAAGTCTCACCCATCGGCAGAACAATCGGCGGGAATTAGATTTAAGGCTCATTGCTACAGAATTGCAGTGCTTCGAGACGTTCTGCTGAACCACGCAGTGCCGTCGCCGCGTCGCGTGCTCTTTCACATCACGTCGCCTTTCTTCCCTCGTCGCGTTCGGCAGGGTATTTTTACGAAGTAAACGCTTTGTAGCCAGCAGCTTCTAGCGGGTTATAGGGGTTTTGCGCTGCGCTCCCGTGCCAGGTAGAATGTGGCAGGCAAACCAGTCGAGGTGGTTGCCAGGCAACCGGCGAACGCACAGCCATTGCGGGGAGGAGCGATGCGAAAATGATTGCCACGCTTGTTGGCCGTGTCGGCTTGCAAGAAGTGGTCGTAAAACTGTTAACTAATTCATTAGGAATTTTAGTGAGAGCGTCGGCGAGAAGTTGTTCGGCGCTTGCCGGTTCCAGGAAAATTAGATGCATTGATGCTACATGCAGGCTTTGTTGATGTCATATCTCCTGTTGAGTGGTGTACGGTCGTAAGTTTATTAGAATCGGGTTCGGATTCACCTGCGTTGATAGAGGTCTCGCAGCGCGTAAATGTTGTAATGTGATTATGCAGTGGCATAATGAAGCCGGAGTGCGTAGGTTTACTTATTAGTATTACCTGAATAAAGCTTTTGTTAAAGCTTTTGCGGTAGCTTATGGCTTTTGTTAAAGCTTTTTTTTACTGTTCACAGGTGGCGCTGCGGCTAAAGCTGGAGTACAAATAGGTGATAGAATCATTAAGGTGAGATTCATGTCCTTACCTAGCAGTCTGTAAAATATGGGAATTAGTCCTACTAGCGAGTAACGTTATCGTATCTACATAACAATCAACGTGAAATTCGTAGAGCATAACTCTAGGATCTGTGTGAAAATATTTTACTGATTAGTAAGATAATGGCCTATAGTAATATTCTTGTTTGATTGTAAGTGCCTATAGGACAAGCGAAATGTCATGGGGATGATTCATTATTGTTTATATCAGCTAAGGAATTTATGTTAATGTTGATGCCAGTATAGCATTTCATATATTGAGCTGATGACTTGTGTCTCGTCTGGCTCCTATGCCCTTTGCATTGGAAAATACATTACGGCATAAAAGAAACCTGAAGAACAAATGACCTTAACGTACCAGTGTTAGGGAGAAATTTGATACTGTTATTGTTCTAGGGCCATGTTATAGGACGAAAAGTTCTAGGGTTACGGTTAAGTTAAAGGGACAACGAAGGATGGGAAAAGTTTCATAGCAAATAGGCGTACTGACAGTGCTAGCTAAATTTCTAAAGCAAATCACTGAATGTATTTTGTGGTATTCTAAATACGTTCCTGCATTATAAATTTCCTTTCTCTTGCTTGCAGGTTAATGGAACTCTAGTGACAAGTTCCAACCATTTAGAAGTCGTGCGATTAGTGAAAGGTGAGTGAGACTTCTCTGCGTGGACTCCTCCATGCATGCATCAGAATAGCTGTCTAATTACATTTATTGCAGTTAAACATCAATTATTTACATCATCCTTTATTACATAAATTTAAAAATATCTATTCAAAGGCTTAAATATCTCGTCTATATTGAATTGTGAGAAAGACGACTTTTGAATTTTATGAAAGACGAAATTCAATTATTTGAATAGCACACTGAAAATATTCTCACTATTCTACCCGTTTGTTGCATCATCAGTAGAATTAAGTCGGCCAGAAAAAGGCAATTACTCCTCGCATCTAGATTTACGGTTTACGTGTGTTTCTCTAAATTGACCGTCTGCTGCGAGAGCGGGGCGACTTCATCGTTGCGCTGTCTCGCGTTCTGCGCAGACGCTCCTCGTCGTGCGCATGCGTCGCTCGTGTAATGCAGCGGGGGGGGGGGGGAGAATGATTAACTCTGTGGCGAGAGTAATCAGGTAGAGCGGGTGAGTTGATCGGGGCGGCGTACAGCGAGCGATGTTAGCGAAGCGGGGAGACGCGTGCCGTTTTAAACGCCGGTCAGCTCGCCTCGAAACTCGAACCGGCGCGTTGACGGCAGCGTAATCGAACGCGCGGAGCAGTGAGGCGAGGAGGAGGGGAAATATCGAAACAGATGGTCCGTCGGTCTCGCACGCGCGCAGCACGGAGATTCGCCGCTGAAAACGTTTCGATGATAATCTCGTTTTATTCATTCGCAGCTGCGGGCAACCATGTCGCGTTGACGTTGCTAGGGCGACCGCCCGGCTGCAAGGCGCCACTGCCGCCCCCTGCTCAGCCGCACTACAACGGAGGCAAGATGCCGCTGTCGCATCTAGAGCGGCCGTCCGTGAGGCACGGCAGCTCCAGCTCCGGCTCTGGCAAGATCACCTCGCCACTGCCCGTCAACGTAAGTGAGCACCGGGGCCGCCGCCGCGACGGCGCGTCCGCGTGCGCGGGTTTCGCTCTCTTTATTTCGCTGCTGTCTGTCTTCCGCGGTTGCTCTGTAGGTATGTGTCCCTCACGTGCTTATGAATGTAAAGGTTGGATCACCTGTGGGTGTTGAGGTGAGAGTCCTGTTACTCCTGCCTATGAGTGTAAGCCTTCCCTCACACTCACGTCTTGACATAAGGATCCTATTGCGTCTGTTAATGTAAGCGTCCTACCACTCCTGCCTATAGAGTTAAGATTCCTGTAACGTCTGTCTATGGATGTGAGAGCCCTAGCACAGGTGTCTGTTAATGTAAGTTATACATATCATGTCACACCTGCGTCTTGGTGTAAATATCACATCGAACTATTGATCGGATTAGCACCTGCCTGTAAAAGTATCACTGTCTTTAGACGTAATAAACGTTGATTGTGTATGCATAGGCAGAACGCAGCATGAATATATGAGAGTGATTATAAAGTAGCTCCGGAGTGCCAATCCCCCGGTTGCTCTGGACTTTTAGTGCCTGGATTTCCTTCCTCGTCCTAGATTTCCTCTACTAATGCTGGCTTGTGAAGCGGTTAAGCTTGGAAAGTTACTCAGCGAACGACCGAGGAAATCAGCCCATGGGCGTGTTTAATTATTGAGAAGTTTGGATGTTTTTAGGTGGTAATTGCGAGCCATTGTTGAGTGCTGCATAATGTACGGAGCGAGGCGGAGAGCGAGTGGCTTTCATCTAGCTGACGAGAGCTGTGCGTGCGTGCGTGCATGAGTGCGAGCGTGCGTGAGTGCATGAGAGCGTGTGTGTGTGCGAGCGAGCAGGCGTGCGTGCGTGCGTGAGTGGGAGCGTGCGTGCGTGTGTGAGTGCGAGCATGTGTGAGTGCGTGCGAGCGTGAGTGCGAGCATGCGTGCGTGCGTGCGTGTGTGAGTGCGAGCATGTGTGACTGCGTGCGAGCGTGTGTGCGTGCGAGCGTGCGTGCGTGCGTGTGTGAGTGCGAGCGTGTGTGAGTGCGAGCGTGCGTGCGAGCGTGCGTGCGTGTGTGAGTGCGAACGTGCATGCGAGCGTGTGTGCGTGCAAGCGTGAGCGCGTGCGTGCGTGTGAGCGTGCGTGCGTGTGTGAGTGCCTGCGAGTGTCAGGGTTCGTAGCGGGTCTTCCAAAGTCTTATAAGTACTTATTTTGCCAAAAATAAAATAAGGGCCCTTATTAGTACTTAGTTTTGGTGAAATCTTAGAAAAGTACTTAATAGTCCTTATTTTTTCTCGACTTAGAGTAAGAATTGTTGTATATATAATACGGAATAATTAAATCTGCTGTGCAATTGTGTATATAAATATTGGTAGTGTACTTTAATAGTCGGTGATCTATCAGAAATCGTGTAAAAGAGTCTTATTTTGGCCTCCAGAAAGGGTCTTATACGTCCTTATTTCAACATGTGTCTTACTACTATGAACCCTGAGTGTGAATGCGAGCGTGCTTGAGTGCTGTGCTGCATCCGACGAACACCCTCCGGTCCGCTGAGATTCCACAGCTTCCCACCATTGCACTCGTCATCTCTCCATCCTCCGCCCGCCCCTTACGCGCAGACTTCGCTGTCATAGAGAGTGAACCGGGGGGGGGGGGCGTTGTTGGCTGTCGTCAGGGCTGGCTGAGTGTTGTTCTTCTAGAGCTTGCAATGTAGATGAGAGCTTCCCCTGTCCACTGCTGCAAGACTTCACGGCGAGGAATGTCACGTTAGAGTGCGGCTTTGTATCGAGTGTCCGCAGACATAGCCGGTCTCGTCGAGTCGTGTACTCACACTGTAGCGGGTCGTGTTAGTTGTATGTCTGCTAGTCTAGGTGCGCCCGACGATGCGGGTGAAATGTCTCGGGTTAGGGACCTCTTCACTGTGACTGTTTAGCGTGGGCATCGAGCGTTGGCGGCGGCACTACCTAGATGTTTAAATGTCATCCTAAATGTCTTGATGTGCGTACGTAGGTAGTGTGTATCCGTGTTTAAGCTGTCTAACTGCATAAATCACACCCACGCATGCACGCACGCACGCACGCACGCCCGCACACGCACGAACGCACACACGGAGAGAGAGCTCGAGGCAGAGAGAGAGAGAGAGAGAGCCCGCATATCATCATTATCATCATCATCGGTAGTAGCGCCACCACCATCATCAGCTGGCTCGCCATCCCGCCCGCATCTTTGTCGCAGCGTTGTCACGGTGATGTGCGTGTGGGAGGCTGACAGTCGCAGCTATGCAGGCAGCTGATTGTGTCGCGGCTGGGGATCGTTCGCAGACGCCGGTGGGGACGTAGCTGTATCAACGCTTCACAGACGCTGCAGTCACGCGGGGAGGCAAGCGATAATCCTGCGTGACAACCGCCTCCTCCCCACACACTGCTGATGATGATGATGATGTAGCTGTGCCCGGGTGGCAGGCTCTATGCAGTGCATGGCGCTAATTACCGAAGTGAAGCGATGAGTGAGAGAGAGGGGGGAGGGTGGGAGGAGAAAGAGAGAGAGAGAGGGCGAGTGAGAGGGCAAAGCAGAAAGAAGGTGAAAGAACGATGAATACTGAGAAGGTGAAAGAAATAAGATAGAGGAGGGGCAGGAATGAGGGAGGGAGAGGGGTGGAGGGAAAGAGAGAGCACTAGTGAGAGAGAGGGAGAGAGAGAGAGAGAGCGCTAGGAAGCCAGAGAAAGAACGCACTAACGAGCAAGGGAGGGAATGAGAGAGAGGAGGGATGGAGAGAGAGAGAGAGGAATGTCAGCATCTGTCTATGCCGGCATTACTTGTGCGCAGGATTGCGGTTCGAAACCCCATTAGGATGAGAGTCTGCGGAGTGAATCTCGAGGAATGCAGCCGCCACTCGTCCGCTCGTTGCTCCACAGCTGATAACGGTCCTTTATGGCCAAGTGGATTCACGCAATAAGCAGCGACCTCTCTCACACACTAGTTCCTTGATACAATATAAGACACCCTCTCTCGCACACTAGTGGCTTGATACAATATAAGACACCCTCTCTCTCACACTAGTGCCTTGATGCAATATAAGACACCCTCTCTCGCACACTAGTGCCTTGATGCAATATAAGACACCCTCTCTCTCACACTAGTGGCTTGATACAATATAAGACACCCTCCCTCGCACGCTAGTGGCTTGATGCAATATAAGACACCCTCTCTCACACACTAGTGCCTTGATGCAATTCACGGTGACCTCTCTCATGGGCTAGTGCCTTGATACAATATAAGACACCCTCTCTCACACACTAGTGCCTTGATGCAATTCACGGTGACCTCTCTCATGGGCTAGTGCCTTGATACAATATAAGACACCCTCTCTCACACACTAGTGCCTTGATGCAATTCACGGTGACCTCTCTCATGGGCTAGTGCCTTGATACAATATAAGACACCCTCTCTCACACACTAGTGCCTTGATGCAATTCACGGTGACCTCTCTCATGGGCTAGTGCCTTGATACAATATAAGACACCCTCTCTCACACACTAGTGCCTTGATGCAATACACGGTGACCTCTCTCGCACGCTAGTGCCTTGATACAATATAAGACAACCTCTCTCACACACTAGTGGCTTGATGCAATACACGGTGACCTCTCTCATGTGCTAGTGCCTTGATACGATATAAGACAACCTCTTTCACACACTAGTGGCTTTATGCAATACACGGTGACCTCTCTCGCACGCTAGTGGCTTGATGCAATACACGTGGCGATCTCTCTCCTTCACGAGTGCCTTGGTGCAATACGTGCTAGTCTTTCTCTGCGTCTCTCATCCACTAGTGTCTTGATGCAATAGGTGGTAGTCTCTCTCCTTCCTCTTCCCTTCACTAGTGGCTTGATGCAAGAAGGCAGTAATCCCTCTCTTTCGCTAGTGCCTTGATGCAGTATAGGCTCTAGTTTTTTTCCTGCCTCTCTTCTTCACTAGCGGCTTGATGCAATATGCACTAGTCTCTCTTCCGCCTCTCCCCTTCACTAGTGGCTTGATGCAATAT